GTTTGTTTCGTTTCGTGGTGCTGGCGGCGGAGTCTGTAAACGTTACCGATACGTGTTTTACCCTTGGAGGAAGTAGACTGTGGGAACATGGCGTGAGCCTTTCAGTGGTCACACTGACGTTGTTGCCCTGCCCCATTCTCCTGAGGGCCCCGGGTTGTGACTCGGACCCTGTGTGTGTCCAGATAATCCAGGTGCACGGGGGCGCGGTGGACCCCACGCTGTCGAGTCGCTGCACACACCTCCTGTGCGAGAGCCAGGTCAGCGGTGTCTACGCTCAGGTGGGTCGCGTGGCCCCGGACGCCTGTCCCTTGCAAGTAGATTGCTGTCACTGGTGTGTCGAGCCCTCTGTGGCCACCAGGCCTCTGTGCCTTTGCTGGAGTGGAGGGGGCGGGTTCCAGGCAGAGCTGAGGACAGGGTGGACACCGCACAGCGCAGCTCAAGGCAGCGCTGGCGGAGCGGGGGTGGACGGCAGCAGCCTGTCCTGTCTTGTGGGACTTTGTGCGGGAGCCTGACACGGCAGCCACCGAGCTCCTGCAGAGGTCTGGGCACAAGCTCTGCTGCACGTCACCTCTCACCCCCTTACATTGCCTTTCTTCTCTCTTAAGGGTTCCTACCTGTAGAGTGACCCCCAAGAAGCCCTTTTCAGGGGATAACCATTTCTTGGATCTGGGTTTTCGTGGGGGAATTTTAATTTTGATGATTATAATGTTATGTCGTGCTAGGACTGAAGTTATTTTTAAGGTCATCAGATTTGTCGCGTTTGTCCCCCCAGTGCAGGCTCTCGTTCATATCTATGTATCTACCTAGTAACGTTTTCAAGCCGCGTTGAAATCCACACGCTACACTGTTGCTGTTTGTCACTTTAGTGAACTGGGCGTTGATCGTCATGAAGTTCTTTTGTTAATAGCGTGAGTTATAGTTAGACACCTCCAGCTTCTATGGAACTTTGCAGTTAGGAAACCCCACTCCCGCTCTGTTTGGCAGGCCATCAGGGAGAGGAAGAGGTGCGTCACTGCCCACTGGCTGAACACGGTCCTGAAGAAGAAGAAGCTGGTGCCGCCCCACCGGGCCCTGCACTTCCCGGTGGCCTTCCCCCCGGGGGGGAAGCCGTGTTCGCAGCACGTAAGGCGCTGTCGGCCGCGGGGTCTTCTCCAGTCCTGAGCCCCGGTCCCTCACTGGCCTCCGAGTCGGTGTCTCGTGCATGCAGCAGCTCGTCAGCTGACGCTTAGTCCTGAACCGAACTGTGTCTTGCCCAGAAGTGACCGCGGTCGGGCAGTGCTTTCTCAGTAGCTGGACGTTCTCCGCCCAGCTGACATCAAGGTGGGGTCAGTAAGGAGACGGAGGGGCTGGCCGATGCTTTGACGCGTCGTAAAGTGACTTTAAAACTATCCGGAGAACGTCGCATTAGCCCGAGAAAGGGCTCCCCGTGTTCGGTTTTCTCCCCTCCCCATGACGACGCACGTAGCCCTTTCACATGACGGACGAAATCCTGGGGTTGGTGTTCTTAGGAGTGACTGGGTGTCTCCCAAGTGCCAAAGAAAGGGTGCAAGTAGACACGCCTCAAAACAGCCACAGTGGAGATGCGTCCTCGGGTTAAGCTGTATTTTTCCGTATTTGCTCTTTTTCCTCTTAGATTATTTCTGTGACTGGCTTTGTCGACAGCGACAGAGATGACCTGAAGTTGATGGCCTACCTGGCAGGCGCCAAATACACGGGCTACCTGTGCCGGAGCAACACGGTTCTCATCTGCAAAGAGTAAGTGCGCCCGTGACACCGTGCTCCGTCACGCGCCCGTGATGCCACCCCTGTCACGCGCTTACGCCGTGTGCTGCTGGCCGCGCGCTGCGTCCGTGAGAGCTCTCGGTTTTGTGGTGGGGATTGGAGTGAGGACGCGTTGGAGGAACGGCTGTGACGTTCCCGATAACATTGGTAGAAACAGGAAGGATTCGTGTGATCGAGTGGATTGACGGCGTTTCAGCGGGTCGTGAGGTCGCAGAACGGGCAGGAGTAGGGCTAGCGGGCGACCCGGGGTGACGCTCCCCGAGAAGGCGGTTTCGACTGGCTTTGGTTGAACGCGAAGATGGCTTTGAGCACGAGGCTGCTCTAACACGTACTGTGTTTTTCCACAAAAAGGCCGACCGGTCTGAAATACGAGAAGGCCAGGGAGTGGAGGATCCCGTGCGTGAACGCCCAGTGGCTCGGCGACATCCTCCTCGGGGACTTCGAGGCGCTGCGGCAGGTGCAGTGCAGCCGCTACGCGGCCTTCGGCCTGCCCGACCCGTTCGCCCCCACTCAGCGCCTGGTCTGGAGCCTTCTGGGTGAGTGGGCCCCGGCCGCCGTGCGCTCGCTGCAGGGGCCTGCGCCCCGCCCCCCGCGCGGGCTCCGGCTGCCACCTGCTTCCTCGCCACACGCGCCTCTGCCCTGCTCTGCCCGGGCTCCTCCTCCTCGCTGGCTCGTTGTCGTCTGCTTCCTTGAGCGGTGGAAGGGACACTTGGGAGCCTTGCCCCTGTCGCTCCAGCGAGTTCTCGCTCACCTGAAATGCCACCCACCTCAGAAACAGCCCCTGCTTTCCCTCTGCGGCCCGTGAGGAGCCGTGCCTTCGGGTCGACGTGTGTCACGACAGGTCGGAGCGCGCGTGCTTGCTGCTCCCTGCTCCTTGCGGCGTCACAGACTCCTGAGAAGACCCCGTCCCCAGAGTGGAGCACAGCACTTAGTTTCACTGCGTTTATGGAAGTGACCACTAACCCCCCAGAATGGCCATCCAAACCCCGCTTGCCGCGCTCTGACAGGAGCCCATTACGTTCGCGTCTCTGTGGCGTTGATAGCAAGAAGCGTGGCTTCGCTTTGGGCCACAGGCTGCTCCCTGTGACGTATCTGTGGGTCTGACTTCAACTCTGAAACCATTGTCAGGGCTGCTGGTCCCTCATTGAGTGCTGGGGGATGGTCAGCACGCGGGGAGACCTGTGGCCTTCGAGTCGCCCCCTCTCATCGTGCCATGGCTGAGGGCGGCACAGTGGGATGGAGACACGTCTGCTTTACACAGCAGTGCCGGGTCGTGTGCCACTGCTGTTCCCCGCGTGGCCTCGCGGGTCTGACTTCAACTCTGAAACCATTGTCAGGGCTGCTGGTCCCTCATTGAGTGCTGGGGGATGGTCAGCACGCGGGGAGACCTGTGGCCTTCGAGTCGCCCCCTCTCATCGTGCATGGTTCCCAGCCGTGGCTGAGGGCGGCACAGTGGGATAGAGACACGTCTGCTTTACACAGCGTGTCGTGTGCCACTGCTGTTCCCCGCGTGGCCTCGCTAGACCGTGAGCGCCTCCCCGGGACAGCCGGCCCCTCCGTCCCCGACGGGAAACTAGGGATCGTCCTGATGTCCTAACTGAACGTAGTCGGCTAAGCCACCTGCGTGTCTAGGCTCACCAGCCCCGAAAAGGGGCTGTCTGTGCGCGGCACACAGCAGGAGTGACGCATTTCCTCTCTCTAGACGCCTGGAGGGTCCCGCTGACGGTGCCAGCGGAGCTGCTCACGGTACGTTGCGTCGGCGCCTCGCTTCGGCGGTTTTCAGCGACGGGCTTCCTGGCGGAGGGACCGCCAACCCCCACCGCGCCCCCCAGCTGCAGAGCTGGCTCCGGCCCGTGCTCGGTGAAGGGCTCATTCGGGGGCCCATCCTGCCGGGACCAGCAGGGAACACTGGAGTATGTCCCGAGCGTCCACCACCTGATGCGTTTTGGCCAGGAGGCCTGTGGGCTGCTGGCCGCTCTCACGCTCGCGACCACGTGGCCACACTTGTGTTTCGCGTAAACTGGCGACCACAGTTTTAACAAAACGTGACCAGTCGTGACTCAGCAGCAAAAGCCGAAACCCGGTTCATTTGGATGCAGGAATTTTATGGCCGCTTTTAAGGTGAAGGTGGGACGTGGTCACCAGCGTCCCCGCCCGAACCACGCGGCTTCTGCTCTGAAGTCGTGCTGGGTCTCTGGCTTCTCCGTGGCTTCTCTCGGGGACGGAAGGCGAAGGCCTTGGGGACCCGGAGGCCGCCATTCTGTTGCCCGTCTGTGTCGGGCGTTGCTCACAGCGAGGTCGTTTGGAGGCTCGTTGGGGCTGAGGGCCCTTGTCTCGTGAGGTGAGGGCGAGCGGGTCCTCCCGTCCTGCAGGCGTGTGACGCCGGAGCCTCCGCGTCTGAAGGCGCCCGCGGGTCCAGGTGTGCTTAGCGGATGTGCTTCTGGGTACAGCGTAGCGTTCAGAAAATGGCACTCGGAGTTGAGGTGTATCAGCAACACTGAGGGGTGGTCGCCGTGTAGCAGAATAGGCGTATTTGGGAGAAGCCCTGCATCTAAGACGTGCAGCGGGGGGACGGGCTGCTGGTGGGGACACCTGAGGGACAGGGCCCCATCGGGGACAGGCTGGCCTGCGGCCGGGGAGCTGTGCCACCTCAAGTTCCTGTCCCGCTCTGCGCAGCGTGGCTGAGCTGGTTGCCCCGAGCATCTCTCGTGAGCCCTGGGCGTGAGCTTGCCTTTCAGGAACGGTCCCCAGGGCTGTGATTGCGAAGGGCTTGCTCCCCTGGTCCCGGTCAGGATGGGAAAGACAGGAGAGCTCAGGAGCGCACAGTGCGGACGGCGTCTGGCAGGGCGGGGAGGGAGGCCGAGAGGCTGCTCCACGGTTCTCAGGGAGTGCACGGTTCGCGGTCCCGTCGTGGGGCCAGGCGAACGCCGGGTCTGGTGGAGCGCGGTTTTGTAGACCAGCAAGGGGTTCGCCTGTTTGACCTGTCGGCCCCGTGGGAGCCGCTGCCCTACCTGGAAGGGTGAGTGACGCACCTGCTGCTTGACTTCCAGGGCATCAGGCCGCCCCCCAGGCTGAAGCAGAGCGAAGTCACAAACACCCAGCCTTCTTCCAAGAGAGCCAGGTAGGGGCCAGCGCCGTGCTGCGGTCGGCTGTCCCCACGGGCAGCTGGGAGGCCCCCCGACCCTTGCTCAGCGAACAGGGCGTGCAGGGTCTGCTTGCTGCTTCGCAGCCTGGTTGTGGCATTTCTTATTTTATCGCTGGCAATAACTGGTCAACAGGCCAGTTTTTTTTTTTCTCTTATTAAAACAATGAGCAGAAGAATCTTTTTTTTGAAGCACAACTTGCCAGTAGCCCCAGCGTGCAGACCCGACCCATGGCGGGACTGCTGGAGGGCGGAGCGGCCCTGCGTGCTCTGGGGGTGCCGTCTCCAGGGCCCCAGCCCGCAGTGACACGCTGGCCAGTGCTAGCCCTGTGAGCCCTGCCCGTTGTCACGTTAGTCGGGCACAGCGGGTGCATGGAGCTTGCTCTCCGTGTGACTCTAGAAGACGCTTTCTTCTCAAGAACGTTTTTATTTTAAGTAACAAAGTCGTCATTCCATTGTGTGCATTCACCTTACAGAATCGAAGACATACCACCGCCCACTAAAAAGCTAACCCCAGAGCTGACCCCGTCTGTGCTCTTCACCGGATTCGAGCCCATCCAGGTTCAACAGTACGTCAAGGTGACGTGTCAGCCCCCTCGTGCGGGAGTGGCCCGTGCTGTCTGTGTCCGCTTCTCACTAGCCGTTACGGAGCTGACTCCTAACGGAGGGTCTTGTTGTGACCGTCTTCGTGGTGCGTTTGTGACCTGCCTGGGGCGGTGTTGAGTGACAGCGTCCCTCCAGCTGCTCGCTTCCTAGCGGTGGCGGACTAAGATTCAGGTAGCAGACCAAGAGCCATTTGTTATCACGTGGACGTTTGCAAGGCTGCTTGATGTCCCTCTAGTAAAGAGGTCCAGTGTGAAAGGGTCACTGTGCCCCCCCAGCCCCTGACTGAAACCCCAGTCTCCTCGAGGTCAGTTTTCTCGGTCGGTGGGCCAAAGGGTGTATTTGTGCATTTACGTAATAAATGGGAGTAAAATTTTAAATACGCTTTTTAGAATAGTGCAAAGGAGTGTGGAGTTTTGTTTTTGTGCAGCCTGGTTAAGAGTGTAAGTCGATCCGTGTCATGTTGGGTTAGGACATTTCACTTCTAATTTTTCTTTTAAGGAAGAGGAACAATTAGAAATGCTGTCGTGAATTTAGCATAATTTCATATTTTAACTTTCGCAGTTGAGCGTAGGCACCGAGATCATGTTTTACATGTTCGGCTCCCCGGTCAGCTCTCTGGCCACCCTTTTTAGGCCTGGCCTGTTATAGGCGCGTCACTGACGTGCGTCCAGCTCCTGCAGTCGGGGCGTCCGCACCTCCCACGAAGCGCGCTGCATCGCCGGCTCAGTCACAGGGCTGTGTTCCCGGCGTCCGGTGGAGAATTCGTGTTTTGATCTCGATCTGTGGGGAACTGAGACAAACGACATTGCCAATTCTAGTTTTTACTTCCCTCCCAGTGTCACGAGTTTGGCTTGGCCTTGCTCACAGTCCCGTTTTCCGTGGTCGGGAACTCCCCCTAGATCTCGACTCGGATGCGTGTTCCCTGTGCCACGCCGCCGTGTGGCCCGCAGGCTCACCGGCCCTCTCTGTGCTCCTGACCTTCAGAAGCTGTACATTCTGGGTGGGGAGATTGCCGAGTCTGCGCAGAAATGCACGCACCTCATCGCCAGCAAGGTGACGCGCACGGTCAAGTTCCTGACGGCCATCTCTGTGGTGAAGCACGTGGTGACCCCGGAGTGGCTGGAAGAGTGTTTCAAATGTCAGACGTTCGTTGGTAGGTAGCCGTTTTTAATGCTGGGTAAACTTCCAAAGTTGTGGTCTCGAGTTTATCTCCATTTTTATCCCAGCACATGTCCTAATTTTTAAAATTTTTCAATGTCCCCATTTCTCTAGCATAAACGTAGGCTTTTTCTTGTAATCCCACGCCAGTTCTTCAGAAGGCTTATCAGCCTTAATTTTTGCCTTAGGAATTTACATTTCAAATCTATCGCTTCATGTGTGATGGCACTTTTTTTTCTTTTTCTGGTTCATCATTTTTAATTTTTCCAGTTTTCAGACATTTCCACATAATCAGCACAGCAGCGTTACTTATCTGCTGACTGGCTGATCGATTTGTATTTCTAGCAGTTATTAACCAAACTTCAGCATTTCTTTGTGATACGATTATTCTTGCTGTGGCCCATGAACTGAGAATGATTTTTACATTTTTAAAGTGTTATTTTAAAAGTATAAGGAATTGGATATGCAGCAGAAACAAAACGTGGCCCGTCCGTCCTAAAATCTGTCCTCTGGCCAGCCCGGTGTGCCAGCCCCTGCTCCAGACTGCCCTTGTGCCTCAGTGGTGTGAGCACTCCATGATGCTCTTTGGTGATTGTCACGAATCAAAAGAAAAAAGGTGCTTTTTTGAATGTGAGACACATTCATGAGAAGATTCAGACACTTTGCGATCTGTAACTTTTGAGAAGTTAGGATACTTCTTAAAGTGTTACTCAGAAAACTGAAAACCAGTCAATTAAAAATTCTCAGAAGTCTTCAGAATTTGGTAAAACTACCCTTTATGCACTTTCCTATACTTCCAGGAGTATGTTTTGGTAAATCTGTGAAACCTAACTGATTGATCATCATCTGATCGAGTCTAACGTCCCTCGGGCCATCGTGGTCACTGCATGCGCACACGGGCACGATGGCCTTAGGCTTATCAGCCTGGGGCATGGGTGGGGACGTGCGGCCCCCCCAGTAGTGTGGGGGTGGGGTGCGGAGGGGGCACCAGCTTCCACGGGAGTTCGTGGCTTCAGAGGTCGAGACACGCTGACCCAGAGCGGAGGTTGCCTGTGGCCTGCCGCTCCCGGGGGCAGTGAGCGTGGTGTAGGGGGACCTCGGCCTCCGAGGCCTGGCCGGTCGGCGTGGCTGACGGGCAGGGGTGCCTGTGGCCTGCCGCTCCGGGGGGCAGTGAGCGCGGTGTAGGGGGACCTCGGCCTCCGAGGCCTGGCCCGGTCGGCGTGGCTGACGGGCCAGGCGGGCCCCGGGGCTCCGCGTGCCGGCCTGCGCCGATCGCCTGTCCTGTCCTCCAGACGAGCAGAACTACCTCCTCCGGGACGCAGAGGCCGAGGTGCTCTTCTCCTTCAGCCTGGAGGAGTCCCTGAAGCGGGCGCATGTCTCTCCGCTCTTCAAGGTACGGTCAGGGCTGCGTCGCCGGCGCGTCCGCCGTGCGGGGGAGGGTGATGGTGGCTCTTGGGGTGCGGGCGTCCACGGGTGCACTGCCCAGTGCTGCTCGGCTGAGTGGACGGGCCGCAGACAGACGCGTCGCCTGTTGGGGACGGGGGGCGGCATGACCTGCCTGAGTGCTCCGACTGTATTCGTGGATCATCTGAGTGGCAAGAGACATTTTAGTTGATTTTGAACAAATATTATGTTAATATTATTGTCGTTAAAAGTGTTAGTTGGACAATGGAGAAGATGTTTGGGGAAATATTAATGGAATGTGTGCCAAACTGATTCAGGACTAAAGATCTCAGAATACTCGTTAGATAGAATACTTGGAACAGTTTGGAAATGTTTTCGTGTCAGAGTAGCTATGTAAATTAAGCTGGTTTTTATCCTTTATAAGGAGCTGATTGAGGAATCAGAAATTATTTGCAGTAGTGAGTTAAGATGTGTCTTACCGAAAATAGTCTGATTTTTCTCAGTGTTTGATTCTTTTCTGAGTACTTTCAAACAAGGTACGTTGTGGCATGCTTAGGAGCAAGGGTGTTAGGAAATTAAATCATCACTGTCACCAGGTCCTGCTCCTCCGACAGTGTCCCAGTCACAGAAGTGGGGGAAGCAGGCGCCCACGTCTGCCAGGCAGCGGGGACTGGCACGGGCGCAGGCCCCACGGGGCAGTGGGGCGTCCGGCGCCGCGCGCTGCCCGCCTTTCGGGGCTGGGGTCCTGCTCACTCACCCCGCGTGGATCTCACCGAACTCACGCAAGCGCTTAAATTTCCAGACTCCATCCTGGCTCGCGCTGGGCCCGCTTCTGGCTGGGGCGGGGGGCTGGTCCCTCTGCGGCTTCGTGAGGGGCAATGCTTTGTCATCGTTCTCGGGACGGAACGTAGGAAAGTGACGTCCTCGACGAAGTCGAAGCGCTTCAAAGCCGTAGCGTGCGTGTTCTCATCCACCTTTAGGCCAAGTACTTCTACATCACGCCTGGGATCTGCCCGAGTCTGTCCACCATGAAGGCGATCGTGGAGTGCGCCGGCGGGAAGGTCTTGCCCAAGCAGCCGTCCTTCCGGAAGCTCATGGAGCACAAGCAGAACAAGGTCGGGGTGGGGGGCGGTCGAGGGCACCTCTGTCGTGGGGCGTCGCGCTCAGCGGCCAACGATCCCGTTCCCTCCCCTCAGAGCCTGTCGGAAATAATCCTCATTTCCTGCGAGAACGACCTGCACCTGTGCCGGGAGTACTTCGCCCGCGGGATTGGTAGGCCGGGCCCCGCGGGGTGCGGAGCGGGGTGCGAGCGGGGTTCCCGCACGCGGCCCCTCACAGCCTCCTTTCCCCGCAGATGTGCACAACGCCGAGTTCGTCCTGACTGGGGTGCTCACGCAGACGCTGGACTACGAGTCATATCCTTCGCGAAGGCGCCGGGTGCCGCCCGCAGCCTTGATGGGGGGCCGACTGGGGCGGGCGGGGCCAGGCGGAGCCACCGAGCCCCGCGGGTGTCACGCTGCGTCCTCTCGGCCTTGTCCGGCCACGCGCATTCACACTGGTGGACGCCCGTGCGGAAGGAGGACTCGCTAACAGTCACGGTGATGGCAGCTGTCACCGCAGCTTCTCCAGCCTCTAGCGTGGCAGCAGTGGATGGGCGGCCGGTTTCGGGTGGTGGGCCCCGGATGCCGCAGGCGGCTCGGCCTGTGCCGTGGGCCTTTGGGGTGTCGGCCTGTCGGGCCGTGCTCAGTTCCTGTCAGTGGAGTCACCCGGGGGGCTCCAACAGGCACCGGGCCGGGCCCCGAGCCGGGTGTCACCGTGGCATCACCGTGGTGTCACCGTGGCGCGTCGTCTCTGAAAGCTGTTTTCCTCAGCGGCCTACGTATAAATTCAACTGAGGTCCCCGCGGGACACCTGGAGCCCGGAGCGCGTCCCTGCCAGCGAGGACGCAGCTGCCAGCGCCCGCCCCTCCAGCCGCCTCGTTTTCCAGCTGCTTTCTCAGGGGACAAGCGTTTTAAAGCCGGAGAACACGTGTTATTAAACATGCTGCATCTTTTTAAGATGTGTGATTTTATTCTGAGGAACATAAATTATGTTTTGTATACTATGACTTGGAGAACGTTAGGTTTTATGATTCATTTGCCGGGGTTTAAATGTTTTCACAAAACTGTTCTGGAGCTTTAGCTACAAATAAAATGCTGTAAATAAAGACTTGTTATCTCTAAATTATGGACTTAAAGATTTGAAATGTTTTGTACTGTATTTTTATTTCTTATACTTTCTTTTATATTGACATCCTGCCCACATTTTAAATAAATGTACTTTTGAACTTTACTTAGAATCGGGTGATCCTTTGTTATTCCATATTTTTTGCATAATTTCTATGATTTGCATTAAACTGGATCACATTTTAAGTAATTTCAAGGTAAAATGTTTTCTAATAAATTTTCCCCTAAAGAAAAATCTCCCTGCCGTCACCTGCCTGTCGCCTTCCGAGCTCTGTTCTGGCCTCGTCGCGTGTGGCAGTCACT